CAGGTCAGGGTGGCACACAGCACCAGCAAAGTGGGGGCAACTGGTGGGTTCCCCTGACACACTTGTGGTTTTGGATTCCTGGATGACACATGCACAGCCTGAAGATGAAGTGATGCTTCTGGGATGTAGAACTCAACAGGATGCTGGGAAGAACTGGTCAAACCAGCCACACAAACATGTCTAGTGCTTTGCACATACTACAAAATGCGTGCTGTTCAAGTTATAAAAAGACAAACCAACAGGCCTCTGGCATGGATGAAATCAACTGACCGCAGTGGCACTGCTAGCTCCTATCACCCTGCACGCAAGAACAAGACATGTTAAGAGCTTAAAGTTGTAACGAAGCCAGAACCAAGTCAATTTTTCCTGTTAGCATAGGTACCTCCATAAAGCATCGGAAGAGGAAAACTTATTTAAAAAATATGGAAATATGATGATAAATAGCTCCTGTTAGCAACTCGGCTCCCAAAAGTCCTAGGACATCACTGTTGGTTCATTTTCTGATAAATAATCTCAGAATTATGAACTGGAATTTTCTAAATCCATGCAACCTGAAAGATGACTAGAACCAAATACTTAACACCTCTCATTTCTGTCACCTGCCCTCCTAAACACAGTACCCCCAAGTGATGCTATACTCCATTTCCAGAACAACTCAAGCAGACTCCCCAAAACTTCACTTGCACAAGGACGAGCACTCAAGTACCGAACTCCTCTCAGCACGCACTCACTCAGAATTCCCTGTAAACTGTCACAGTGACTACGTGAGGGGAGGAAGGTAGCACGACATGAGGCCAGAGAGCACCACAAACAGGGATGGAGCTCACAGAAGTGTCTCAGAAGTAGCATCTGGCTTACAGCACAGCCAAAGCTGGGCTGTGTTGATGTACAACACCATACTGGGGCCAAAGAGGAAAAATTCTGTTGGCTTTGCAACCTCATGCAGCGTTGAGAAGAAGGAGATAAACGAATTCTTTACTATTTATGTTAAAATGTTCTGCCATTTCATGGTAACTTTTTGTAAAAGACGTATCTTCTTTTACATAAAAGTACTAGACGAAGCCTGAAAGCCACGATTCAAAAAATAAGGATTCCTGCTCCCTTTCACACTAAACCATATATGAAGTCCTACTGTTGACAGCAATGTCTGCTAGAAACTGCTAATGCCTCTCACTGTTTTGGGAGTTTTCTCCTTATTTCCTACTCATTTCAGAGGAAAAACTACAGAAAATTAATACATGTTTCTTCTTTCTCTCTTCAGAAACACTTTTCCATGATTTCATCTAGCAAAATACAAGGCACAAGGCTCAATGTATTTGATCTGGTTTTTTCTTTTGTTTAAAGTTATAGATATGATTAAATTACGTACACTTAATGAGATCTGGGCACATACAGACTACTGACCTGAGTTTTGTCAAAAGAGAGATGACACTGGTTTTGATGGGGCAATAAAAAAGGCCATTCCAACAGCAACTCTTCAGATGCTTACTCAACTGAAATACTGTTTCTTACCTTTACATAGACAATACATTGCTTCTAGTTCTGTACAGAAGTGATACAAAAGTGTCTCCTTAAAGAACATAAATGTAAGGATTTCTGTTTTCTGAAATTCTGGTAATGCTTGTAAGATTCCAGAAAGAATGTGAAAGAAGGAAAATACAGCTGTACACTTTGTAACACGTGGTCTAGGTTATGCTTTTTTTTTTTTTTTTTTTTTTTAAGATATTTCAGACATTATTTCAGTAGTTACCTGAAGTATTTCACTAGTCAACAGGGAATCAGGTAGATAGTACACTAAGTAAGCCATAATTCAAACCTGGCTCAGCTGAAATCAGATCTGATGGACCATTCTAATGCTATGCAATTCTCACCCACCAATATATTCAGCACTTCAAAAGCACCAATACAGCACTTTAAAATTTGTAAATTAAGTTCATTTTAAAGATTAAGACATCCAGCTGAGCCATTTGTTGTCCAAAGAACTTATACCACTATTACTGTCACCCCACTTTAGATCCAACTGAGCAGATGAGAGGGCTGACTTGTGCAATACCATCTTCCAGACATTGTTAAACTTCCACTCCAAACAGCTTTTGTTTCTTCACCTACTTATACCTAAAAGCTGACTTTGAAAGGTAATGTCTAAAGTATTTCCAAATCACAGCTGAAAATTTCCATATGACTAAATGGCTACAGTAACATCATTATTATGTAAAAATAGGTGAGAAAGTGATTCCATGGCAGCTACAATAAAAATAAATCTTCATTTCTTTTGGGTACTTGAACATCATTAATAGTCAGGAGATACTGTTAAAATAGACTAACTGATCATCCCTGTGGCTCTTTCATTATGTTGGTGGCAAAGTAGCCTATTGCAGCAAACTCAATACCATTTCTACTGGTTCAACTTACTGAACAAAGCAAAGTTGTTTGAACTGACTTTTCCTCTTTAGATACCTATCTGAAACACAGAACCTGATTTGTAAAAGTGAACATCATTACTCCTCACTAGACAAGCATGCAGTTTGTTTTGGTGTATTTTTTAGGTATTTGCATTTAATACTCAGAAAATGTTTGTCGGTATACATTGCTGGTCTCCCTATCTGTATCAGTCTATTTTAGATCACCAAGAAAGAGATCCTACCTAACACAACGTAAATAGTACAAGAAAAACACATACTACTAAACACAAGCTTTCCCTTGTGCTTTCCGTCTCACGCCTGACCACATACAGCAAGACGTTCTAGAAAACTGAAGGCTATTTAATCCACCTCCCTCTCAACTCTTTAGCTTTTACTGAACCAGTCAAGAAGACTGCCAAGTAGTATGGCCCGCAATCTATTAAAAAGGAACCAATTCAACACTCTGCTTCACAGCAACATGAACTATATACCTAAAACGCATCCAAAACTTTCTGCAAAGATACAACAGAAGCAGCGGGGAAAAGATAAGGCTTATCTTTCACACCTCACTGTTTCTGTACTCATCCTAGGATGTCCCCAATTTTAAGAGGAAAATAACCAATTTTTTTAATGACACAAACTTCACGATCTGCTTACTCTGGTCAATGTTGCTTGCGCTTTCATCAACACCAATAAGCACACCACCACATACAACTCACAAAAATGTTCTTAATACAATTGTGTATTCATAGTCATAGATATATATACTCTACATGCTGTATTACAGTACTGCATGTTAACTTACCATAAGATTACTTAAATCTCACACAGACCCCCAGCTCCAAATTTTTTCAAAATCCTAGCAGTCTTAATACATTTGCATATGGAAAACATATGAATTTATTTTCCCTATTCCGCCTGTCAAAAAATATTTTTGGGGGAAAGAAAATTACAATAATAAATTAATGCATTGGTTCAAGTTTCTGAGGAAATGCACTTTAATAAATGTATAAAGTAAAAATCATTGCATGCACGATTTATCTCTCACATTATCAGCAAAAGTTCAACAACTTGTTAAATCTAAACAACAATCCACTAATACAGGGCAGAGCATGTATTCACCATTCAAATTACATGCTCATCAAGTTAAAATTTTTGACAGAAGTATACTGCTCAAAAGGAAAAAAACAAAACAAAAACAAGCAAACAAAAAAACCCCAGACAAAACTCACCCCCAAAACAGGGGATTTAAAGTTCACCTGTCAAATGCAAGAAGACAAATATGCTTGTTTTAACAATTAATAGTTTAAAGCCCTTTTTAATCACTGAAGCAGGAATATGTAGAGTTGGTTTACTGATATAAATATTCTGGTCCAAATTCAAACAGAATTAGCTAAAAATGATATTTTAAAACTGAAATAAATAAGAGTTTAAAAATGGAAGTGCTAATTCATAAACCATGAAATTGTTAGTGCAGGACTGTGTTTCCTATCTCTTCTGTATCAGAAAGTGAACCTCTAAGTCAGTACAAAGCAAAGTTGAAGGTCCAGTGTTCTTCACTGAGTAGTCACATCATAGTGCTAAACCAAGTTGATTTTAAATCTTCTGCACTCCAAAATAATCCTGCCTTTCCTCCCTGACCTGACATATGCTACAATTTTACAGCTAAATCTACAGTTCTACAGCAATGCTATAATCTTGAAGAAAATTGCAAAGAGCAATAAGCTTTGTCAACTGCTAAGTCAACTGGCTTATATTTAAAGCACGCAGCAACAGTAGTAATCATAAAGCAATAAATCCTTCCAAATGATCTGCAGTGAGAGCTTTATCCTGATCCCACCAAAGATGACATGACCTCACCTAACCGCAATGGAAATGTTAGATTACTTAAAGTATCTTCCTTATATCATAAAAAAAGGGTTAATGAATCAAAATATTTGACACTTCATGTGATAGACTCCTCAAGAGTAAAGATAAATACATGTGGTATACAAGGCAGTTAGGAACAGTCAGCTTAAATTTAAAAGTACTATCTCAAAAGCAATGCCAAAGAGTAGCATGTACAGTACAACTACAAGAAGCATGTTCCCCCCATGCTACTATTCATGAAAATAACACTCCACTGCCGTAAGAACGTTGTGCAAAAAAGGACAGGTACTTGCAAAGCTCTCTGATTCAAACACTGCGGGTTTTTATTTGCTTATCTAGTATCACTTCAATGTTGCTGGGTCTTGTCATTCTCCTGTGAAAGCTTTTTCAGAAAAGCCTAGACATCAGAATGAGCAATTCTAATAATTCAAAATAAATAAATTTATCTTGCAATGAATTCTTGTTCAACAGTGAAATTTTGCTGACCCTGCACTGAGGTTTGTATTTCAATAACTGAAAAACACATAAGCCTCCAATATGAGAAACAAAATAGTTTTCTATTTCACTTAATATAATCTTTAATTGAAAACTATTTTAAAGCAAACAGTTATTCATGCTATAAATTAACACCCCCTCTTTTCTTTTTAAGGTGTGACATGTCATTTCTTCTCTTAAAAAAAAAAAAAAAATTAAATCCTGTCTTCTATTATTTCATACAAAACATGACGCTCAACTCTACACAAAACAGAGGAATAACTTCAGATTCCATAGTGGTACTACCAATGTTTTTCTTGTGTACAAGACTGCATACAGTGAAAGAAGGCTTGCATTTCAGTCATTACATGCCTCAGGTTTTCAGCTAGAAGTGCAACTGCAAGCTTTGTCTTAAGAACTGCAAAAATTATCCGAAATTCCACTAAGCAAAATTGACATCAGAATATATACACTGTGCCAAATAAAACTTCGTTGTTCAGCCCTGCGATTACCTGTGCAACAGCTTCCCTGAACATCAAATAATCATCATCCATTTTTAAGTGGAAAAGAAAACAAGGCCTACAAGACTAAGAAGTCCCCTCCAAAATTTATCTCAGGTCTTACAATACAAGATATAATTACTTACATTATTACCTATAATTAAAAATATATTGTGCAAAGATTACAGACCGTAAACGAAAGCTGCTCACCTACAGTATACCAACTGGCATCTGTCAACTTGCTGATAACAGCTTCTTGAAAGGATCCATCAGGCATTTTGGTTTCAACCATTGCACCGACCTGCAAAAAGGAGTATGTCAAGGTTACATGTAATCCCAAACTCATATAATGGAGAAAAATACACGAAGGCATTAATTCTTCCAGCAAGCTAAACTTATGACTTTTTAGACCCATTTTAGCTAAATGTTACTTTAAAATTTAGTTACTTAGCTTCTAAGAACAAAGTTCCTTAACTATAATGGTTGAACTGCAAGTAGACAGTAAAGCAGTAGAAGACTCAGAACATCTAATTTCAGCATGACTTATCAGAAGAAATATAGAAGGCTAATTGGAAATAAATATTCAAAGAAATTATTACTTTATTACTGATATGCATGCAACTACTACTACTCCTTTTAAACACTGTTAAACTGTCAGCTATATCAGAACTACAGTAGCAGCCTACAGCATGCATTGGTGTTCTTGCAGTGGCTACAGACAAAAGACAAATACAAAAAAGACAACTTCCTCTAAAGAGCTCTATCTGTGTTCAGTGTTTAATAATACAGCTATGTATTTTAGCAGACAACCGTTACATATCACAAAAAGACAAATCATCACATATTTTTATACAAAATACACCAACTATTTCAGAACACTGTTAGAGCAATCGTACTTACTATTGTCTAATGGGCTTGAACTTAGCTTTGTAGTCAAGTTCTCGATTACTTATAAGAAGTTTCAAAGCTTCATGACTTATAAGGAGTTTTGTATCTTATAGGAAGATACAAAAATCATCGTGCATGCAGAACTGCATAAGTGTACTACATGGAAAAGCATAAACAGACTCTACAAGCTACAAGAGTTAAGACTAATTACTCAGAATCAATCTGATCTAAAGCAATGAGAGCGTCCTTCTGTTGATGCAAATTCTGCAGAACAGGTACCCATGTAAACAACATCAAAATTTAGAATTTTACAAATAAATTATGTGATTTCAAGAAAAAAAAAAAAAGGCATGCAATATACATACTCTCAGAGGTCCTTTCACTTGGTCATCTTGCACTAACTGAGTTGAGTTATCCCCCTTCAGGACCACCTGAAAGATATTAAAGAGCTTTTTTACATGTATATCTTTTTCAAAATATATTTTCTATCTTCTTTTTAAGAGCATACAAAAAGCGAATGAAAGTGTATTTATAATACTAATCTGGAAAATAAGATCTTTATCAATCAAACTGACTCCAACATTATTGAATGCAAAATACTTGGCATAGACAGTTTTACAGACAGGAAGCCCCAGGCATAACACTTAATATTTAATCTGAAACATCATAATTAAAGAACGGGGCAAATCAAACAGCAGCCATCCCAGGGCAAAGAAAATACATTTTGACTTGAGTTTGGATATTAATGCAAACCAGGACATACCAGGAGTTTGGTCATATCAGAAAATTAAGCAGCTTTTTGTCTCTCTACTTTAACCGTAGCACTTTATTGACAACAAATTGAGTACTATACTACAACCAAAATAAAAAGCTATTAAATACATATAAAAAAAAAAAATCACCAAGCTGATCACAATACCACCACTTCTACTACCTTGAACAAGTTTTTATGGTAAAGATGTACAAGTGTAATGAAAACAAGGATCAGTTACAGTGTAAGTAAACTATGTTTCTCCCTTTAAAATCCTGTTTAAGAAGGTAACACTGATGAGACAGCGTGAATGTGAGCCTACGCAATTTGAATTCCTGAGTTTGCAGAGACCCAGTTTAAAAACATAAAACATGAATATTGAGACGTCAACAGTTAACTGTTCCACTGCTGTCTGTTATAGCAAAACCACCTATGGTGTTTTAATAAAAAATGCCATAATTCCTATTTCTTTTCAGGAAACAAAAGTTCCAGGAGCTTCCTTTCCACCTTTAAAGATGTTCAGTTTTCTGGCTCCCCCAATTATCCCCCAACCATAGTCTACATTGTAGCTGTATTTATAAATTCAACACTAGTGGCATGCTAAAATAGTATTGGTATATTCAGGTTAATAATGCACTTTATGGATTTTTAATTTAAGATTTTACATTAGGATTGAGATGAACAGAGGTTGTCCTGCTATTCAGGAAAATACTGGACTTTTTGGACTCTTTGCACTCTTGGCAAGCATACTGGGGTGTGCCTACACACTCTTAATTACAATATCAGGCTTAGCTTGTTAAAACTTCAATTGTTATAATTGAGATACAGTGACAGGCATTTCCACCAAGTCACAGCAGTCTCATATACTTCCAAATCTTATCATGGAGTAACACAGCATATGATTCTAATGAGAAAAAAACCCTCACACCTATTAACAGTCTTGATACTCTATCAGACCAAAGATACAGATAGAAAATTAAGGACGTCAGACCAGGAAGGGCAGCACAATGCTTCCTACGGAGCTTCTCATTAACACAGATTTCAAAGAACATCACAAATTTCTGTAAGTACTCATTAAGAACAGCAAAAAAGACTCCAATATCTGAATCGGGTGGTTTGGTTTGGTTTTTTGTTTTTGTTTTTTTTTTCTCTTAATGAAAAGCAGTCTGATACAGTGATATATAATCTATATATGTAACTGAAGAGGCTGATAGCTTGCTCTGCTTGGTCTAAGCACCAAAGCACACAAAAACATAGATGTGTAGTTATAAAAAGCAGCTTTCATCTCTATTTACTAGGGGGTTTTGGGTCACTAATGTCCTATTTACATATCCTGGACAGTAGACAAGAAAGTAGGAAGTGAGAAGATTTTGACAAAACAAAGCAGAAGAAAAATTTCTGTACTTACTTTGAATACTTAACTTTTATTTAATTATATTTTATTCTTGTTTTCCCACAGTAGCATTTACAACAGTACTGCAACACCAAAATAATTACTTTCTTTTTTTGGCTGTTTTGGCATAAGACCTATAAATGTGGATGAATCTAATGGGCCAGTATTATGCACGTGTAGAATCTCAGCTACAGCCAAAGCATGCCATTTTAGAAGCAACAGCAAGATGCTCAGAACTTAACAAACATTATCCTGGACATTTCTAAAACCTCGTCTAAGAAAATAATTATTGCCATCTTTTTTGCTGCTACATTGATTTATCCTGGCACTGCCTCTTAAGTTCCAAGCTATAAAATTGAGAACATCAGTTGGAATGAAATTAAACTTCTGCTTCTTATGAGGCTGCTCTTATTCCTTATTGCTCATGTAAAGCCATAATCTTCTATGTGTGACACCAAAACCAATTGCTGTGGAACTGATGCATTCACAAATGTAAGACAACTGTGTTCAGGAAAGAAGTAGAAAGAATAGGTAATCAGAAAGCTCATTCTTGTTCCAGCATCCTCCTTTTAAAAAAAAAATAAAAATCTGAAAACAAACACCACAGCCCTCCATAAAAAAAGAACAAAAGAACCCTCAAACTCAACACCGAAATATGAAAAACAACATTCAAGTGTTCTCTAAAATTCATACAGTGAGGCGATGGAACATTTCCTAGTCTTCAGAACCAGGATCTTCTCTGACAGTCCTTTCAACACAATGCTTTAATAAAACCAGCAATGACCACAGTATACTACCTTGACTTTCACAAGCCTTTTCACTGTCTTAATCTTTGCCTCACAGAAGGCACCACGGTACTTGGCACTGACATCAGTTCCCACTGTCAGGTAGGCAGGCTCATCTGCTGCCTATTAAGAAACAAAAAATAAGAACAAAGTTTAGTTCTTCTTATTTATTTTTACAGCTACATCATTAAGTATTCAATTTTACATCTAAACTTTTAGACCTACTGACTTTCAAGTGATAAGCAATGTCTGCACTTGGAATTGCAATCAGACTGTTCTTTAAAAGAAAAGAAAAAAAAAAAAAAAAAAAAAAAGAAACCAACAAACAAGTTACAGGAAGTTTTGTTTTACCAGACATATTGACCCCCCCATATTCCCGCTCAATACAGCTAGCTTAATTACTCTCCCAGAATTAACTCAGAGTATTGAACAGGTATTTGGAACATCTCCTTATAAAAATGGTAGTAACATCTAGGAGCAATTATTAATTCAAGACATTCCTATACAGCATACAAAAGGAAAGTATTTCAACTTCAAAAAGGCAGTATAAAAGATAGTTGCACTTTTTTCAGCTATAAACAATCCAATGACACTGATTATTTAAAACGTTTTACATTGCTATTATCCCAATACTTACAATTAAGTCTGTAACATGCTATATACAGGATTTTTTTTTCCAGTTGACTAAAGGAAGCATCCATAGAAATCTGCTGTAATCTTTCAAACAGCTGTTAACTAGTATTTTTCTTTCCTGAAAAGCCTTTATCAAATCCTAATTGCTTATGCATTTTAAGAGAGAGAAATATTTCTCATCATGCTTTCCTTAGTCTGGACTTTATTACTCAACATTTCACTTTATTGTGCTTGTAGCAACTGATAAACAGGGTCAAAATTACCACGTTGAAAATGCCTATCAAGACAGAAAATCAGCACAGAATATAAAATAACTGGTGCTTTTTGTTCTTTGGTTTTTTTTTCTTTATTGTTATTTCTTCAACTCTGAAGGTAAAAAAAGTTTTTCTCTCTTTTGTAAATGATACAGCAATTGTTGAGCCTTTGTACTGAAAAAAAAAAAAACGGCAACTAAGGCAGGACAAAAGCTGTGGTTTTGCAAACTTGCAATAGCAGCTGCTGATACAGGAAGCATTTAAAGACAGTAGCCCAAAGGACAACAACTCAAAGACATTGTGAATTTTCAGACTACTACAGCAAGACGATAAGAGCTTAGCTCACCCAGACCTCCGCTGGAAAGCAGAAAGAGGATTTACAGCATGCACCGCAACCCCGGCCAGCGTTACCTACTGTTGCTCAGCCGAGATATGCGATTAAAAAAAATGAAATCGCCAGAGCAGCGAGCGAGGGGGGGAAAGGGAGCCGTTCCCCACTTCGGAGTCAGCTTACCTTCATCTTTAAAGGTTATTTGAGGGATTCCAGCTCAAAGATTTCTCCTCCCCGCGAGCACACGGGAAAACACTGCAAAACAAGATGGGGGGGGGGGGGGGGGGGGGGGGAAGGCTGAAGGCTCAGCCCTGCGAGCGTGGGTCTCCCCGTGCGGGGGAGGCCGGGCTGCGCGGGGAGCAGAGCGCGGGCGGGCGGGAGCCACCGCCTGTCCCAGCCCCGCCGGGCCGCGGCCGCCGCCCGCCGCTTCCCGCCCGGCGGCCCCTCGGTTGTGTCACGTCGCCATTGCTCCCGCTCCCCGCCTCAGGGCGGAGGGGGCCGGGGCGCGCGTTCAACCCCTCCCGGGGTTGGGGAGGAAACCCACCGGCCCCACACGGGGCAGCTCCTCGCCGGGGATGGGGATTGGGAGGGGGGGGGAAGGGGCGGCGGGGCCCGCCGCCGCCGCCTTCCCCCGCCCCTTCCCCGGCCCTCGCAACTTTCTGCGGCCCGCGGAGGGACGCGCCGCTGAGCCCCTCCTCCCCGCTCCCCTCACCCGCCGGCCGGGCGGACTTCTTGCTCCCCCCCTCACCCCCGCTTCTTCCCGGGACACCCGCCCAGGCAGCCCCCGGCCCGGGGAGCTGAAGGAGCGGGGGGGGGGGGGGGTTGGTGGTGCGACGGGGGCGGGCCGGCTCCGCGCGGCTGAGGCGGCGGGGGGGGGGGGGGGGGGGGGGGGGCGGGTTAAGGATGGAGGTCGGCGCGGACGGGCGGTCCCCACCGCCAAGCATCGGGGCAGCCCCGGGGCGCTCGGAGGGGACACGGGGTGGAGTTCGGCGGGGAAGGGAGTCCCGTTCCCCACCCCCCCCCGGCCCCGGCCCCATCGTGAGGGGAGCGGCGGGCGTCCCCGCTCCCTCCCGGGGTGGAAGGGCGCGCTGGTGCGAGGGGAGGATACAAGCGGGGGGGGGGTGTGGGAGGAAACGCCGCTTCGCACCCCCTTTCCCCCCGGGGCCAGGGGGGGACCGGCGGCGGAGTTGCCCGCCACCTTCGCCGCCTCCCTACCTGCAAACCAGGAGCAGAATCGCGCAGCCCCCCAGCGCCGCCCGGCCCGGCCCGGCCCCAGCGCCGCGGCCCCCTCCGAGACGACGACAGCCCCCGCGAGCGGCGGCAGCGGCGGCGGCGGCTGAGCGCGGCCCCGCTCCGCCCCCCGCCAGCCCGGACTCGCACCGAATCACCAGCGCCGAGCCCAATAACAAGCTGTTGAGCAGAATCGGTCCTGCTTGAGCTCCCATTGGCCCTTTCCTGACGCCCCGGGGGCTCTGCCCCGCCCGGATTGGGCGCCGCGGACAGCACCCCCATTGGTCACAGGGAGGCCGGCGGAGGCCATTGGCCGGCCGGCGGCGCAGGTAGCGCCACGGAGACTTTTGATTGGCGCTCCTCCGGATTGGCGGAGGTTGAAGTGAAGTCAGCGTTCCCCCCCTGCCCACCACCCCCGCCGGCTGATTGGTCGGAGCTGCATCCGGATGGAGATTTGAGCGCGGCGATTGGCTGAGACCTGGGGGGGAGGGACGACAGGCCGGGACAGGAAGAAGAGCGGCGCGGTGTGATTGGTACGGGCCGTCTCCTGGAGACGCGGCGGGGCGGGGACGAAGGAGAAGGGGACGAAGGCGAAGGGAGGGAGGCGGTGGCCGGAGGGGAGGGGGGCACGGAGCGCGCATGCGCCGCAGCGCGGCGCGGCCTCCCGGCGCCATTTTGTGTGAGGCTCTTTCCCATTTTAGGCCGCGGGAGGACGGCGGCGAGAGCGGTCGGTACCCACCCCGCGGGCGGAATCATCCTTCCTGAAGCGGCCGCGCCTCGGTTTCTTCTCTGTCAGCGCCATCCCCGCCTTGGCTCGGGGGGCGTCAGCCGCGTCGCCCTCTCTCCGGCTTCGGCGATGGCGCAGGAGCGGCCCCGGAAGCGAAGCGGCGGCCATGGCGGGGCGGCGGCGGCGCCTCAGGGGGAGCCCGCCCCGCCGGGAGGTAGCGGGGGAGCCGGCCGCTCCCCGCCGAGGGGCCGCCCGCCCGCCGCGGTCGCTGCCGAGCGCCCCAGTAGAGACACCGCCGGGGCTGCAGGTAGGGGCTGCCCGCGCCGCCCATTCCCTCCGCCGGTGCGGGCGGGACGCGGGTGGCTGCGCTTCCCCCGGAGGAAGGCGTTGCTCCGGCGCCATTAACCGCCTGCCCGTGACGCATTTGGGGTGAAGCCCGGGGGAGGGGGACGTGCCCGTCTCCCGCCGCCCGGTCGCTTTCTCCACGTGTTGGCGGGGGCCGCCTGGCCTCGCTCCAGGCGGCTGAGGTCATCTCTTCGCAGGAGGATGCAGCAAGGACGGGGGAAGCCTAGCGTTGACGGGGCTCAGCGGTTTTCGGGGCATGTGGGGCGGATTGTAGTCTTGTCCGGTCCTTCCGTACCTGCGATGGATGCTTTCGGAAGGCGCAGTCTTATGAGGCGGGGTGTCTGTGCCTGTTAGAGGTCCTCTAAGAGAATTTGGCCTTAGAGGGTAGCTTTGGCACTACGAAATAGGAGTTACTGACTGACGCTTCTAATAAAATAATGATTTTAACGTCAGTTTCACGTTTTGACTTCTGACAGAAAATATGCCCCATGGTTGACTGTAATGCAGATCTATTATTCTTCTACAAAGTAATGAGCATCTGTTTGTCAGTGCTGCAAGACATATCTTAGTTTTATCTAAAGCAGCAGTGGAGGGACCTACCAATATAGTTGAGCAATCCATTGTGCTAACTTGACAGAAATGGATTGTTAGTTTAGGTATAGTTTCCGTGTAAGTTCTGTTTTGAAGGTGGGTTTTTGGTTTTGTATTTTTATTTTTTGAATTAAATCTGATGCTTTGGAAAACAGCAAGCAAAGGGATGGCTCTCTGGAGAGTTAAATGAGCAGCAGTCTATAGTATAGATAAGTCCCCAAGGTTTAGTAAGGCATAATGCACAGAAGGCATGTTTAGAATTGGCTGTGTGAGATGTCTTCTGGTATTTGGACCTCAGTTGTATATGTAAAGATTCTTGAGTATGTATACAAAACGTTTAAAGGTTTGAGGCATTTAGTGCTGAGGGAACTTTGATTCTGTGCTGTAGTTCCATTTTTTGCAGTGGATAAACTGAAGAGCAAGTTGTTGTCTAGACCATATTAAATCTAACCCAAATGTTAACAAAGTTGCAAAAATTCACTTTGAATGTGACCTTCTGATCTCTCCATGTAATGTATTAGCCAAATCATTACTTAGATTGTGAGCTTTTTTTGAGGCACGATTTGTATTTCTGTACTAAGTGTAGTACCATTCAATAAATAAGTTTGTGATAAAACTAATCAGTCTTGTTTCTGATTTCTAGCAGAAAAAGCCTGTCTACCTGAATGTATCTGTTATAGCTGGCATGCTTATGAATTTCTTGGCACATCACCCATCTGGCTGTTGTGAGCAAAAGGACTCTTTCTGTATAGCCAGTCAGCAGGAGAAGTGACTTGTTCTTTTATGGTATTTAAAGCACCTAAGAATGCTAGCTAGGCAGCTCAACAAAGAGCATAAACACTCTCGCACAACTTGGGGATGATGTCTAGTATAATGGAATGAAAAAGCTCTGCTTTTGGCAAGCCTTGAGAAGGGGTCTAATTTTGGTTTAAAATAACTTTTCAGTGGAAAATGAGCTTCAGGACTCGGAGTTACACCACAATATTGAAATTTTACGTCCTAAATGTATGTCAGTGTTAACTAGCCCTGAGACTTCAAGACAGCTTGGCTATACAGGATCCTTACAGCTGTGCCCCATTCCCCAGTGCAGTTCCTTATAGGGAAACGGTTGGAATGAGTGGAAGAAATGAGTAGTGGACTTTGCAATGAGCCACTCTGTTTAGTTTACAAGGTTCATGCTTCAGAAGTTCTAGAATGAGACAATCATAGTAAGTCCTTTTAGTACCTAATCTCCCTGTAAATAGACATGCAATAAGGTAGAAAATTTTGTAACATCATTGTTCAAAGCAGCAGTACTTGTATTATGTGTACATTCTTGGTACCAAAAGTCTTGTAAATGCAGTACGGGAGGTTCACGTGGGATAGGCATTTTGGTATTAGCTTGTGCAAATCAGTGCAAGGCTTCTTAATTTAGAAACTTCACACGAAAGCATCAGGGCACTCTTAAGTGTGACACGGGTCTTTGGTCATGTATAATTCTAGAGCTTAGGTGATGGCTGCAAGTGACTTAGAAAAAATAATGTACTTTAAAATGTTTTTGGTGTATTAGTTGCAGAATATACAGAAATTTTGCCCAAAGTCTCCCATATATATGGCATTCAATAGGAAAAGGCAAGTGTAGGAATGTCTGTATCTTACAGTATTCTTTGTAAGAATAGCAGAATAAGTAGCAGCCAGATAAAACTGTTGATGTATCATGTGGCTTCCTTCGAGAGACAAGAGATTGTGGGATAAAATGTTTTAGTTCTGTTCAGTAGTCACATGTTGCTCTTGATATACTGTATTTAAATGTAGATTAAAAACAGACTACACATACAGTCACAGCTAAAATATTATAGAAATATTAATATCAATTCTTGTTCTAACACTGAACTTCTTTCTAGGTAATAAAATACTATGCAAGTCTATGTCAGACTTCAGATGTTCAGGAGACTTTTAGCTGCTTTTATTTTTGTCTTGGGTGTTTAGGTTTGTTTTTTTTTTTTTTTTTTAATGCTCTTCCCCTTGGTGTTTCTGTTCCCTAAGTAAATAGGCAGCGTTTTTCCAGTGGTGGTTGAGCAAGCATCTGCCTCGTGGTTCAGAACTTCAGTCTGTGTGGAACTGCTGTATTTCTGTACAGATGAAGGTCAGATGTATGCTTCCCACAAAGCCTTATTATCTAAGTGATTGCAAACTGCTCAGACAATGTGGTAAAAGGTTGTGAAGTACTTAGCGTGCAAGTATAAAGGAAAAAAAATCCCCAAAAATGTGAAGTTGACAACAAAAAAGTTCAGTCAGTAATAGATGGATTATAAAAATGAAAGGTCAATCCTTCTTTCCTAGTCATGGAGAAAACTCTGCTTTGCTGTTAACTATCAGGAGTACCCTCCTTCATATTTATTATGTGTGTGAGAGAAACAAAAACCGGTAGGTATTCTTACCTACCGTTTCCCCAGCTCTGGTACATTTCTGTCCCCACCTTCAGAAAAATGGCTATTTAGTTATTCAAATGTAACTGTGCATGCTAGTGCTCATCATTTCCTTGTGAGTGTTGCTGCTGGAGAAGATAGAAAATTTAGCAACCCTTAGGAAGCCTGAACTAGTGCATTATATCCACTGATGTTTAGTAGTGGTTTCTTGAATCGGGTATGGCTGTGTTCTGCAGCAGTGCAGTATCTCTTCTGGATATGAATAATCACAAAAATATTTATGACATGGAGTACTCTGTTGTAAATATTTATGTGAGAAAAATCTCAGAATTGGGTTTCCTGTTAGCTCTACAGCTGACAATAATACTCACTTTGTCGTTACTTTTTCCACTAACACTAGTAAAATGATGTGCTCAGCTTGTCAGACTAGCTCTTGTTAGCGGCTCCAGAGATCTCTAGGGAGTAGTAGTCCCATTTTTACTGAATAAACTATGTCCAGACTTTGTTGTGCTTTGTGGCTGCAGATCTTAACTACAATCCCATGTGTTATAAAGTGTGTGCAGAAATCAGTGATGCATTAACTGATGTGTGTTATTAGCAGCCTAGTGCCAAGAAAAGAGGTTTTAGTTCTCAACTGATGTAACTGCTGCTTTCATCCTAGCCTGTGTGGGGGTGGTTTGGCATGTATCATGCAATCCTTTAATTCCAAATGTAAAATGTTCCTTTTTTTAAGACTGATTTGGTAATCTTGTGTTTGGACAGAATAAGAGCTGTGTTGTAAGAGACTATTTTTTATTCTTGCTGGTATGTAATTTTCTATTATGATAGCTAACACATTTGTATCAAATGTTAATGTTAACTAATTTAGTCACTATGGAAGAAAGGTGCCCATTGCCAGGGTTTACTTAAGATTGGATTCTAAAACCAGCTTTTTGCATGTTTTGTCATGTACTGTTAAATTATCCGAATACAGACCTTTAATTTCTCTCCTGTTGCCTAGCAAAGGGATGCAAGATAGAGAATTTGATTACAAATGCACTTAAATTTTTGTGTTATTTCTAAGGACTACA